CATAATCATATACCGACGCGCGCTTTTAGTCATAAACAGTAGCTAAAGTAATAATATCACAATTAAATTGAGCGTCAATTTAATAACGATACTATGAGCAATTCAAAACCTGCGAAAAATTTATTGCAAAAAATATTACCCTAACCAGGATCTCTTTGTCAATTTCGAATAATTTTACGAAATCTTGCAATCCGCGAATTACTGTTTTGAAATATTACCTCACAAAAAATATTAGTGTTGATTTAACACCATTACGGTGTCTATATAATTCTCACGTGTTGATGTTAATATTATGGTGTGGATTTATAACCCCTGGTGTTTATATCAATACCGTTATGGTATGAATTTAAAATTTAACACTTATGGTATTAAACTCACATTATGTTGATGTTAATATTAACACCAACAAAGTGAAAATTTATAGCCTGATGTTAAATCTGATAGTTTTCAAAGTATAATTAAATACAAGCTAATAATAAAATAAGTACAAAGCTAATGTCCAAAAAAAAAAACATTATAGATTTAACTTTTTCCTGTTCTTCTGTCATTTATTTTAACTCGTGACGTTCGTTAAGATCCAAAATGAAACTTTTGAGATTTTAAAATTATGCAGCTATAAACCACGAATGATAAATGATGTTTGAATAAAAATGTCTTATGTTTTGCGATTAATCTCAAATGGATCTCTCTTTAGCGGAAGTTTATATCGTTACATAGAGACACCTGATGTGAAAAATTAAAGAATTAAAATATTCGTAGAAAATTCAAGGATAAAGCGAGGTGTGAAACACCTGGATCGCGCCCTGTATTTTTACAGGAAATAGAGAAAAAGTAAAACAAAAAAAGGAAAACATGCGATATCGATCGATTCGATTACTCGTGCACTTAGGATTCTCTCGATATCAGCAGGGTCATGGTGGAAGGAAGTCAGGTGTGCTTGTTCTCGAGACGAATTTTGTATGTTCTGCGCAGATTCCAAAACGGTCATTTAAAGATTTATTATATATCGTGGTAATTTTTTGAAATAACAGTTCGAGAGATTAAAATGAGTACATATTTGTCAATTAGAAACATGTAAAAATGATCATATGAATGAAGAATTCAGAAGTATATATTTTTATAAATATAATGATTATACATATATTTCGCTTCCCGAAAGAGAAAAGTTAATATTAAAGTAAAAAGTTTGCAAAAAATCAATTTTTATTACAATAAGACATAAAACCAAATTAATTATATTATATATTGTAAGAAAATATAATTAAAAACAAAAATAAGTAAAATGTTAACGATATGTAACGCCTAATTCATATAACCGCAGCAACATGGCAGTATATAGTGTCACGTCTTTATTGGCTGTTAGAAATATATGCGCAAAGGCACACCTGGGGGTCGAGCGTATATTTTGAAACAAGATGAAAATTACAAAAGTGAGCAAATTTATTAGGTATTGACTAATAAAATTATAAATATTCTAGTAAAAAAAAAAAAATTCGCTCATTTTTGTAATTTTCATCTTGTTTCAAGCTACAGAATCGATCCCCTGCGAGTTTCATCACCATGGGTAGCGTTTTGCTAGTCTAAAATGTGCGACGCTACTGAATAAAGTGACCGAAGTGTTATTTCCGGAGGCGTTTTTTTATTTTTTTTTTCCAAGGGTGCGCCGCACAATAACGATAACGATAATCACCGAGCGGCCGCATCTTATTTTACATTCATGGTATATTACGCAATGAAGGTGCGCGTAAAAAAGGTGAAGCGGGAAAAAAGGTGAGGGAAAATTGCAAGGCACGAATGGCACGATTGCGTGGACATTGTCCGATCTTGGAAATACGTTCGTCATTTTAGTCGAAATCATTGATACGAATATAAGAGATTAATTTTAATTTCAGTTTAACTTACTGTTTATCTTATTTTAATTCTAAGCCCGGATCCTCATACAGACAACAGCGCTTTGACACCAAACACTATTGTTGTTTGTATAAAGATCCGGACTTAGAGTTAAAAAAGGATAAAAAGTAATAATTGAACTGTGATTGAAGTTATAATCTTATATTGAAATCGGACTTAAATTAAATTTAATCATAGGTTAGTTTTAATTTATAAACAATTGATAATATATTAAATAGTGGTGATCGAAATCAATAAAAGCGTTGGCGGATAACGCACGATCGAAAGACGTGACTCGAACGAGTACTGTTATATGATAAAATCCACTGATCTGATTCGTAATTTACGATATATGTGCAATATATGTATAATTGTGCATGTATCACTGAATCGTAAAACAATGGGAGACTCCACGTTTGTATGAGAATCTGTCTGAGCAATGTCTGTACATGTGGTGGATTAATACATAGTTTTGTCTAATTCATCAGGTATTCTATTTTCGTGGCGGATAGTTCGTCGATTCGAACAGAAAAATCGTGAGATTCGATGGCCGGAGTATTCGTCGCGAGGCAAACTCGGGGTTCAAATTGAAGTAATTAAAACCCGGGTATGCGGGGGACAGGAAAGTTGGCTATTGTCAGTCGAGAGCGTGCGCCTTGTTAAATTTCTCGGTCGAGCGAGATCCTTCGTCGCAAGTGGAGCGAAACGGATGGCCAATGGCCAATGATGACTCTAAACTCTCTCTTCATCCCCTCTCTCCTCCTACCGTCGAGTCACCCACGATGCGCTTCCGATTCCCTTTCTGTCTCCTTTTTAAAAGCTCCTCTTTCCCTCGTTTACTTTTTTCTCGTAAAGTTCGTGACTCACTGGCAGTCCTTTCTTGGAAAAGGGGTTAAAAAAAAAGATACTAAGGGATATATCTTTCAAGTTTGAGATTTTACAGCAATATCCTCGTTAGTATTAGGACTGAACAGTTTTGTTATTATTAGCGAAAAATATGCTAATTTGTTTTTCTTCAAATAATTTATTTTTTCTTAGATTTATCGTTCTGTAAGAAGACTCGTCGAAAAATATATCTTAATTATATTAGTGATTACATTTGAAAAAAAAGATTAATAAGTTGCTAAAATTGATATCTTTTAACAGGAATCAATTGTGTTTATATAAAACAATTTATAATTGCTTCTGTAAAATACACTTTTTAGAGCTTTGTAAGTAATAAAAATATTGATTTATACTAACTAAACAGTTGATGTAACTAAATATTTTTGTTCAGTATTTTGTTACAGCAAAAAACAAAATATTTTTCCTAGTGTGTAATAGTAGATTACTATTTTGTTCTATGAAACTTAAAAAAAATAGAAATATTTGGTTAACATTTACGGAATAAAAATATTTGTTTATACCATCTAAATAGTTTAGTGGGTTATATGTTAACTAAATATTTGGGGATCCTAAAATTTTCTATATTATCGACGAAACTATATAATTTTTGTATAACAATTACCTTTTCTTTCTTCTCCTTTCTAAGATTAAAGTACCTTTACTCATTAATATGTGTTTGTGAGGTAGAGTCTGAAAACGACAAAAATTTCCAAAATTGATTTCTTCTTTACCATTTCTTACAATTAGTCCAACATGATGCTTCAGAGTCGTTACACGGCGTGACATTTGCTTCATATAAAAGCTGTGCAATCTGTATTTACGAAATAGTCCACAGATTAGTAATTTGCATGAAGAAATAACGTGGAGTTTTTTAAATTAGACTTAGATGTCTAATTAAAACGTAATTATTACATGAAAAATGTGTAGCTGTTAAAAATGCCTTAATTATAATGTTTTGTTTAAAATACTAAATTTTTTTCCAATATATGTATCTATTTATAATTACATTAATGTAATCTATTAATTTTTATTAAACTTTATATTCTTTAATTAACTACTTTTCTGATTTTAAAGTCATTATTTTAAAATAAATAATCTATGTAATTTTTATATAATTAGTGACACAATAAAGATTGCATGATTAATGTCTGATTGTAATTAAAAAATTTCCTCAGACGAAAAGAGTCAACGGAAAAACGAAGTGTCTGAGGAAAACGGGTTAATCATGTATTTTTGGCATGCCATGTCTAAATGCCACCGTTTATGCAAATATTTAGCAAAACGCTCGCGCGAATAATGCTTCACGTTTCGTATTCCGGCGTACATATAGAGAAAAAAAAAGGTTAAATAAACATTAAAGGCAAACAGAGAAGAACCGGATTTGAAGCATGCGGCAAACCCAACCGACGCGTATCGTTCTTTTGAATCTGGACTATTTTTTTCTCTCTCTTTCCCTCTTTTTTTTTCCTTCCTTTCTTCATCTCTCTCGTTTACTTTTGACCTGTATCCCCGAGGCAAAAAGCTCTATCCACGATTTTAGCCACGATGTCACCCTGATGCCTCGTAATGACTCTTCGTTCGTTGACGCGATATAATTTGAATCGTGGTATTCCGCGGAAAAACGTGAAAAAAATTATGGCAGATACGTCGTAACAAGAAAGATGTATCCCGAATGAGGCGAGCTTTCCTTTTTTTCTTTCCCCTTTTTTTCTCTTCTCTACCGCTGTTGCCGTGAGTCTAAGGCGCGTTTTCTGTCGTAAGCAGAAGTACTGTCAGGACATCCGGCGTCCGTGATACGTTTCCAATATTTCATCGGCTCGTTTGCGTTATTTCGCTAGACAACTCGTCGATGCGAGATCGTCGGCTCTATGGTTCAGCTTCAGGTATCCATGCTTTTTATTATTTGCCATTGTCATTTTGTTTCTTTTTTTTTTATAAGATCGCTTTACATATTATTACTTATCACTTATGTGATAATGTAAAATGCCACTTTTGCAATGGCGTTCGGCTTATTAAACGAAATCGAGAAATATCGGAAGTGTCAAGCGCCGTAGGACATTTTTGTTTTCAATATGAAGAGAAACATATGTTTTGCGAGTTATTTATATGTATATCTCTTCTATATTGATAAGAGATTATTATTAATCTATAGAAATACCATTATTAACATTACAGTTATTACGTGCACGTATTTAATGGAGTTCAATGCAATGAGACTTGAGTGATCGATAATAATTGGTGCAGCGAAATACAGTATTAGTCGGTGCGCCGCGTTGCCAATGAATTAATTTGTCGGGTATATGTGTGCGTGTACGTGTGTATATAGGAGTGCGTGGGAGAGTAGGAGAGACAGAAGTCGGACTGTTAATCCAATCTACACGCCAAATCAGGAATGATGGCCCGGTAACCGTTCGCGCCTTTTAATGATCCATACATTTTGATTCGAGGTAGGAACCCAGCGAGAAACTTGATTTCTACGTTACGTTGGGCTAGTGAAACGTGGCGATCATTAGCAGAAAATTAGGTCCCGTAATTGAACGTTTGTCGAAATTTCCCCGGGAATTGTTTGCGATTGAAGCGTTCACGGCGGCTACACGGAGGTTAACCGTTCGCCGCATACAGGAAATGGGCGTTCTGCGCCGTGTCATCATGCGGTCGTATCGGTTACACGAACGTATTTGGCGCCAGTATGCAGGAACTTTGAGGGTCTATCGGCAATTTCTTTCCAAGCACCGATCTCTCCTGCTTCTGTTAATTATTTATCGACGAGTCGGGACTCTGACGGGGACTTTAAAGCCGCTAAATCTACTTGACGTTTATTTACGTATAAGTGTCATCGTCAATGATATGTTTTGCAGAATCGATGGTCATTGCGGTTATTAATGCATCCGGTAGCAAAGTCTGAAAATATAACGACAAGATGAAGGAAGCAATTGTTTAGAGTAAAAAAATTGCCTATGTACAATACTTACTTCCGAACGTTCGTTAAGCCATTTTGCGAAAGACCTGACGCTCTCCAGATGCGTTATGTCTTTCCAGGCCACGTCCATCGTTTCTAGATCCGGCTTCACATTTTCGCATTGTAGCCATTTCTCTCTCACCCGATTTTTGGGCGGTACGAACCGATACTTCCAAGGTATTGCGGTACCAAAGCCCATTGTTTTGGCCGGTTTACTCTCGGCTTTGGCGTCTCTGATCAGATGCTTTCTGGTCATGGCAAGTTCACTTGCATCAGGACATTGTCTCACTGCGGCAACGTCGTCAGGTACCATCGGCATTTCCCTCATTGACATCTATCTCGAATATAATCGAATATTTTATTTTTTTATCTCCATCCAGCGTAATATTAAAAAAAAATTTCTTTTTGGTATGAAAATTTCTGACATTTTCGAAGATGATAAATTTACAAAAAAACAATCTTATATAAAAATTAGATTTCTGTCGTTAATTTGTGTTTTTCCTTTCTATCGAAAGAGAGAGAGAGGAAATACAATATTATTTTCTCCACGAGAAACTCGACGAGCTTTATTTGAGAAATGCGAACATGCAATCAGGTCAGCCTTCTAGTACCACGCGTTGAAGTTATAATTCAAATCCCGCGTTGTGCGGTTCACCGCTCAAAGTGCGTGTTATCGTTGTTACATCATGCATCGCATTATGATGTTACGCAGTTGTAGGACTATCGCGTGCACGCGCGAGAACGCATTTACGGGAGCGCAATACCCTATGCGTCTATGCACTTTGTTTCTATCTGTACCTCCATCGTTCTGCTGGCGTCAGCCGTAAAGTCAATTTCGAACATATCTCCTAGGACTTCCTCGTCGATGACTTTGTCGGTGCCACCTAAACTGCGTAGCCAATCGCAGAAGTCACGGCATATCTTGTTCGTAATATTTCTTGCTCTCATCTCAAGAGTAGCCTCGGGATCGTAGCCTTTAAGATCGGCCGCCGTTAAAGGACGCCAAGTGACAACCTGTAACGATCAGCTTTGGTATCAAGAAACCAAAGAACCTTTCGCGTGGATCTGTAGAAGCTATAGATTTTAGCGTATACAAGACTGATAATGTTATATCGCGTTGTCGATGTCGTTACCTTGCGCCGCGGTTTCTTCAAGAAGAGAGCGTAAGGATTCGATCTGGCTTGACCTATTTTATGCTCATCTCCGTTCGTCGAAATGTCTTTGGTCGTTGGGGGATGCACCTGCGGGCGTATAAAAGCTTACCTTCAACTAATAACTCTCAAACGGACAAAGCGTACTGTCTCACAGTATTAAATAAGAGACTTATTTCCATTTTTGATTTATATAATCAATTTATCGAATATAAAAAATATATAACGTAGCGAGAATGTAATGTCCAATTAGTTTTAATTAATTTGTATTAAAAGAAATTAATTAGAATTCATAATCATGAAAATATAATGTTAAAAATTTAAAAGTTACGCGACAAGGTTCTTCTTAAAACTATCTACATAAATTCGTTATAATATTTGATATATAAAATATCTGATAGTTGCAGAACATATGTACGTACAATCAAATCGAAGGGAATCGCGCCTTCCGCCTCTTCTTCTTCTTTTTCTTCTTCTTCTTCCTCTTCCTTTTCGTAATGCACTGTCGCCTCTTTTTGTACGGTTATTTTCGGATACCAATTCGGCATGCCCAATAATGGGGCGATAAGATTATACGAGTTGAGCGGCAAGGCATGTCTCAGCAGACGGGAATTGCAGGCGAGAGGCTGTTTCGTGGAGAAAACAAGGTCAGACGGGAATTTATCAGGGTACAAATAACGTTGCGAATCCATCAGTAACTTCGTTAATCTCGCGACTAATTTAGCGCGCTTTTTTGTCGCCATCATGCCAGCGCTGTGTTGTTTTATCACTCGTAAAGAGAATTCGTTTGCCAAGCTCTCCAGCATGATCGTGGCCGACACGTTTTCGCGATTCGCTTTCTCTAAAAATCGCGAGACTTCGGCGACCGTCAAAAGCGGTAATTCCACGCTCCTCTCCGCTTTCACCGAATCGGAGGAAGTCGACCCTTTCGCGGAATCTATCTCCTCCAAGGGGATTACCTTTCCTCGCCCATCTTTTTCCTCGCCTCGAGGAATTTCGAACGTACGTCTCGTAGAATCTTTCGATAAATCCTTGATGCTCGCGCAACTGTATCCTCTCTTCAGCTCGTTCTTTCGTGCAGATTCTACGATTGGCGATATCAGCTGTTGGTGCGACTTAACTTTTAAGAGGGCACTCGGAGTCTTCGAGAGCGTATCCTTCTCCTCGTCAGCTTTTTCAGATTTCCCACTGGCTGTTTTCGACGGCGGCCTTTCCTTTGTTGTCTCTTCAGTTTCTACGTCATCGTAATATTCATCGTCAGATTTCTCCTTCATCGAAGTCGCGGTCTCCATTAGAGCGATTCGTGACTCCATGGTGATCGGTTTTTTGTGTCTCAAAGCTCGCAAGGGTTCCATGCTGGGTAGCAAGACCGTGGGTAAATGACAAGGCGCCATATTTTTGTATTGGGATGGATCATTATCGAGCGCCAACGGGGATGATGTCTCATCGTCGGAGGTATGTGCCTCCGAGGACGAAATTTTTGATCGTTCGATGTCCGACGATATTGAAATCGAGCTGGAGGTGGCCTTCAAGCTCTTCGGATCTTTAGATAGCAGACTTTCAATGGATTTTGGTGTTTTATCCTTAGATTGAATTGGCTCAATCTGCATCGAAATCTCGGTACCTTCTTGTTCCACTTGAAGCGACGGCGACGCTGATTTGCTTGACCCATCCTCAACCGTTTTTGGATATCTCAGAATTTCCTTTCTCTGAGAATATAATATCTTCTGCAATTCCTTGCGAAATTCCGGAAGTCCGTCGGAGCTGGACTCGCTATCGTCTTTCGCTTCAATTTCCGTTAGCAATGACGCTCGCGAGAAGACAGTTTCGGTTTCGTTCGCCTTCCGCAGGGATTTATGCATACAGGATAAGCACCTATCACAGTTTTTGCGTCGAAAGCATGAAATCCTCGGAATAGCGTCTAGGAGTTTCGCCGAACGATTTTCCCGGGTTTCGTACTTAGCAAACTTCGTGCTAAAGGCGGACTTCGTCAATGATTTTGCGGGAACCATGGAGGATTTGTCGGAGTTTGACTTTAACAGCTTATATTTAACGCCCTGCTCTTCGATATTTTCAGCCCATGTTTCTCTCAATCTTCTTTGCATCTCGCGTAAGAAAGGAAATTCTGAGCTGTGAGTCTCGGATTCAAGACTTTCACTCTCAGCCACGTCTGACTCGTCCGTATCTCCTATCGATCTGTCAGTGGAAGCGCGCGATCTCAACGACGTTTCCTCCCACATTTTGGGTTTGAAATTCAGATTTTTGTTAAGCGTCAAGCGCTTCAATGCCTCGTATGCGCATCGTTGAGAATAATTCAAGAATTCTTGCGTTCTATTATCGATCGTCTGCTCCAATTCCATTTGAAGATTGGGTGCTGTATCTTGTCATTCTAATTCATCGATAAGCTTCTCTCGAATTTCAGGAGCCCGTAAATTCGATGATTGATTTATTACTTTGCCAGATATTCTTTTAATTCTGTTTTGGGATTGAAATGATTTCGGAAACGACGATGCAATTTTTAAATTATTCATGGACTTCTTCTCTTTCGTAAACTTTTTGTTGAGAGAAAATTTAAATTTTAATGTACGAATGTCAGATCTGAAATTGTATTGTTTGTCTAGTATATTGTTTTTCTTATTTTTAGATTCGATCTTTGCAGTTCCACTTGCGGTTAAGTCAATAGTATTATCTAGATAATACTCCAACTCCTTTCGTGGAACAGTAACCCTTTTGATCTTCTTACTTTTGACAGAAGTTATTCTGTTCTTATCTTTATTATATTTAGATGCATCCTGCACGTCTGGCAATTTGTTCAATTTTTCTCCCAGCGACACATTTGCTCTCGGATCTTCCGTCAAATATCTTTCGATATCGTCGTCAAAAATTTTCATCGCGGGTTCATATCTGTGAAAAGGACACGTCCTCTTTGAATACACTCTTCCATCTCTCGATTCGTCATGTGATGTGATAGAATTTTTGGAAAAAGCATCAAGCGTCTCCGGTTCTTTATACGAATCCACTTTTTTCATTGTAAATTTATTTTGAATAGTAACAAGCGTGTGTTGTTCCTCTGCGTTTGTCCTAGCGATTTTGATTGCGTTATTTTTCGATGGTTTCTTTGGTGTGGGAGGAGAGATTTTAACTATTGGCTCTCTTGCGTTAGAAATAAAACTTTCGTTATCTCTTGTTGAAATGATATCCGGCGCTTCGGAGGATTTTAGATCTACGAGAAGTACGTTTTCATCGAAGCTTCGAGGAACGGAAGAATCTACGATATCGCGAACATCTGTTTCAAAATCGCGCAAAATAGGAATGATAGGAAGGTAGGATGATTTTGGAAAGGAGTTTCTTACTCTAATTAACCTTTTCTCTTCATCGTCGCAAAACCTCTTCCAGTACTCCTTCGATTTAGGAAAAGGACGGTCCCATCTGAAGCGAGGTTATATATTATGCAATATATATAGCAAGAAATTTTGTATTAATTTTTGATGGAATAACTTAATGAAATATACATTTATTTTAGGAATTTTTTTCTATGAGATACTGTGCTTAATAAAGAAATTAATTAATTGATATAATAATGAATTATTAAATTATATGATTAATAGTAAAATTTATCTCTAACGCTTGCAAAATATTTTTATACTGATTCTATTTTTGTACTATTCGACATACTTTGTTCCCTCCATAATACGTAGCTTTTGCACTAAATGACGATGTCTGGGTTGTTTCAATTTTGATGGATGAGACATTTTTAACAATTTTATGATATTTTCTACACTGCGTAATAGATCGATGAGTTTGTTTCAACTGACGCAATTTTTTAATATTTAATTAAGCCACGATTGCGTTCTTGGCATCCTGTAGTGATTGCCGATATGGACTGAAGGTATTTAATTTTGTTGTATCGATCAAACAAATTTAGAGCATAAAGCGCAAATATGCAGTCATCGGTCTGATGACGAGCTTCCGGGAAGCCGAAAGAGATGGTAGTACTTTCCTCTCTGAAGCTTGTATTGATCGTGTAGGTCGAGTTCTGTACCACCGACTGACGTTCATCATGTCTTGAGAGTCCTTTTCGTTCTCTAAACTTTATAACCGCGTACGTTTTCAGTGACTGAATTTGTATCTATCGTGGATAATATCGCGAAGTTCTAAAATTTATCTGAAAATGATTCACACGTTTGCTGCGGATTTTGCTCAAAATTTGACAGATGTTCCACGAGATGTCTTCACCATTTAAGTTTTGCGTTTCCGTAGGGATGACTGATCTGCAAAGTCATTTGGGCTTAGCAAATTTACGGATCTAAACTTGCTACACTACGGACATTCATATGCATTTATATGCACACTTTCGTGAATGATCGCTAAAAAGAAGACTTACTGAATCCGAATATATATTTTTTTAATAGTCAATCTAACTAAACATTTATGATACTTACAGTAAATAAATATTTACTCAATAAAAGAAAGTATGGTTGAATCAATGATTCTTGTACCAAATAAATATAAATGTTTACATTACTTAAATTTGAGAAGCGCCACTACGATCAAAGTTAAATGTTGTGAACTAACATTATACATATACATATTCTTTAAATAAATGTATACTTCAGAATTATAATTGCGTGTCCTTACTATCGGACTTTCAACGCTTGTTTACATTTAGTAAATATTTAAATTATATTATTCAGACAAATATTTAGTAAAATTTTGTACATTTTTTGTTTTTAATTCAACACAATAAAGAAGCAAGTGTAAGAAGAATAAAAATATAATAAAAATGGAAATAGAAAATAAAGTTTACTTGCGAAATTTAATAAATACAAATTTTATATAATTGTGTTGGGGAAAAAGTCCTTTTACATATGTAAAAAGACTTTAAAATATATATAAAATTATATTTAATATACATTTGTGTGTGTATAATTTGATATATAAATGAACATTGGTAATGTAAATTTTTATATGTAGCACTTCAGTATTATTCATGAAGCAATTCCGGTTATCTTTGGAAAATATATAAGCAATATGGAGTATGATTTTAAAATTTAATGAGATGAAAGAGGGAAACAGGGTAGGACAGCAAAGAGAATACATCTCATAAAGTAATTATTTTAGAGGCAAAAGGGACACCTTTTCGCAACGAGGCATCGTATAGTTACGCAACTTCGGTATTAACTGCCGGCCAATAAGCTGCAGCACATATTGTGCTCGCTTGCGACCACCGAGGAAGCTCGGAAACTTCCAATGCGCCCGCGCACGTGTGTATTTTGCAATAAATAGACGCATTGCGCTAACAATAAGTTACGTACGTAATTACGTACATAACTTACGCGAGGAGGAGCACACTAACATTCGCACTATGGTACATTGACCTAGCGATGGGACAAGGTACCAGTGTGGTAGCCATCTTATTTCCGTTGTCTCAGCTGTCGCCAGTCTTCCGGTCGGGTGACTCGATGCACCTCGCATTCGGCGAGGAGACAATTGGATGAAAATAATTACTCGCAGCACTGCAGTCCGTATTGGAGTCGCTTATATATATCTCGAAATTTCGAATAAGGTTTTTGATCTGAATAATGCGTTATATGGTAAAATCAATGTATATAGAAATAATAAAACATTTTATTTTTAAGAATCGTCATTTATTCACTGGTCTTTTTCTCGTAAATGTGTCAGTATAAAAATAGTTCGTCAAATTTGATAAATTTAAATGCAGTTGGAATTTTTTAAAAGAGAGCAATTTATTATCCCTTCCCCCAAATATCAAATTATAATTTTGGCTCTCTTAATTGAAAGAGAATATTATAATCACATTTATAAAACTGCGCATTAATCTTCTCCGTTTGCAAAATATGCTAATTAAAAAATAATTATTTGAGTTTTATCATGTATTTATCTCTATATGTTTGTGAAAAATGGATGCAAATTTATTATCATTGAGATCAACGAAACATTTTCATAAAAATATTCTCGGCACTGCCGCTAATGAATTATTCAATATTATTAGCTGTTAAACGTGAATCTACCGAGTAGGTCGCTCGATCATTTAACAATCTCTTGATACTTCGTGGTCGAGAATCGATGTTTCCAGTCTATGCCCACGGAATTTCGGAATCTTTGATTCGCGTGAGAGTATATTGGAGTACAGTGGACGTGTTGGAATGAGTAATTCGTGGTTCGGCGGAGTTTGACAGTTCGCTAAAAAGCTCTCTGCCACCACAGGAAGTGAGTTGACAGTCAGGAGAATGCGTATACACGCACATTTTGCGGACATCATCGGTGTAGTCACGGACAATGGCGTTCATTAATGACGCTTGGAACTCGTTCCGCAGATATTGTCGTAATATTAAAATTTGAACACACAAAATATTTCTTTTTTTTTCCAAAACAATTTCTTAACATTAAGGCACTATTTTTTTGTTTCTCATATTCTTAATGGTATCTTTTTTCTTTTAATAAGTCTACTTTATTCTCATAGACAGAGAAAAAGAGGACAAAATGAACCGCGCAAAAAGTTCAGCTGAAAAGAATAGAACAATTGGTCTACCGATTTTCAAGATCGTTTCTTTTATATGCAACAATAAAGCATTTAAATTAATAATACTTAACTGATGCGTAGGATAAATTTACGTAATTGATACATAATAATGTTTATGAATAAATATTTACTGCTGCATAAAGATATCAATTTGATCTTGTAATACAGATTGATGAAATGTAAGCATGCAAAAGTGCGTCATTAGAAACTCCATTAATAAACAAGATGCACGACATGTTATGCATTTCCACAAGCGTATGCGTGTGAACGAAGTTCGCGTGCATACATAGGGGTTAGACGTGAGGACGTCACCCACGTCGTGCAGAAATCCCAGGAATATTTGAGCAGCGAATGTCTAAGCAACGTCGGATATCAGACCGTCTGATACCCGCTACTCTGACAGCAGGTCGTCGACGCGTGTAAAGTTAGTCGGCGTGACAATGATAGTGAGAAACTCGGCGGAAAATTACACGTGTTTTCCATCGCACGGACGGGGGAATAATTGCACATCGGACAGAAATGCAAGTTTCATGTTTTCGAAATATAAATTCTGATTAGAAATCCCGTAATGTCATAAGCTTATAAATGTATGTTGCGTAGCGTGGTCCACGAAATATTCATCGTGCAGCAGCGAGGCTAATAAAGTTGGTAAAGCCGTTGTGCGAATCCGCGTATAATGATAAATTTTATAAAAACTACTCTCCATACGGCAGAGTCGAGCATAATTTCATATAATCGTGAGACTTCCTGAAAATAAAATGTCACGATTTAACTGCAGATTTAATTGGGGATTAAATTTAAACGCATTTGAAAATGAGACGCCGGGGTCTTCCCATTCACGCTTTGTCTATTATTTCATCAAAGGATACCATTGTACAAAGATGTTAATGGAAGACTATGAGAAACCTAAACGCGTTGTAAATTATGAATTGTACGTTGCCGCTTAAGGGCCGCTTATGGGCTATATTTGCCCGTAGGAGATATAACTGCGGCGTGCACAATTCCAGTAATTTCTCTGCCGCTTATACGTATAAAATAAGATACGATCAACGCCGTTAAAACGCGAGACGCAGTTTGGAACGGACGCGGCGGCAGCAATTAATTGCGGAACGGAATTGTTCTTTGTTACGGGAAAAATCGCGGATAACGCCTTTCTGCGCCACCACAACGTTTAAAGCGCGAGCCACGATAGGATCGGTACGTGAGATTACTTTGGGCTTTCAGTTAACGCACGGCTTTGAAACGAGGCGCCGCGCCGCGGCCTGTTTCCCCCGCCTGGCTGCCAACAAACTTTAATTTAACTCGCTCTCATACGTCAGGCATATTGCTGGCTCTCCTTGCCTGTTACTATCCCAGACTGGGGCTTGATAATCAGCCGGCGTCTTCTTCGTGAATAGCCCCGTCACTTCTTACGATTTGTTTCGTTGCGTCTTATGCGTTATCTCGGAATTAATCTATTTTGAAGCTTGATTAATTCGATATCTCTGTCAACACGCTTTCTTTAAAAATTATGAATATCAAAAACGAACAATGTCAGTTTTTCAATAGTTGATATGGCTTCTAATTATGGAAATAGTAATTATAAATTCTTGAGCGTTGATTTAAAATTAAAGAATTAATTACTCATTTATTACATATCATGCTAATTAATTTTATCAGTTTTTTCAAGACTGTTAACAAAACATGAGACGAAATCTCCATGAGATTTATACTTGATTTATATTACTCTGTGTGTGTTTACTGTAAAATGGCTCAAATTTGAACCGAAACGTGCAATCTATTTTTATGTATTAATTTATCATTTTATGTAATATAATTGTATACTATCGCCCGCGTTAAGCTTCTACTAATTAGATTAAAAACCGGATTAGTTAATTAATTTTATATTTTCCAGATTATACAATGTAGATTTTATAAAATAATCTTCATTATTTATTTGTAATAATCATAACATTATTTTTTAATAAAGAATTATATATATCGTGTGTGATGCATTATATTTATACAATATTATATATACGTAGTCTTGGTCTCGCTGAGAATTTGTATCTGCTTTATCAATTCAATATTGAAATTATTGAAAAACAGATCGTCAGTTCGAAATGCGAGAAATGCTCTCGTGGATGAAGTAAAAATCTTTAAATCACTGCATGTATGGTACATTATGTGCTAAATGTTCGAACGCGCGCACAAACTTCGACGACATAATCGGGTTACGCGTAATTATTTCGTCGCTTGTATAGTACGTGGGCACGCACTCGAAATTCTATGCGAGCGGACGGCGCGGAGAGCGGGCGCGTGAAAAAATTTTTAAACGTGCCGAACT